GTGCAGACTTTTGTCATTGTGGTTAGACATGCACAGTCCCACAGAAGGAATCCTACACAGCCTGCTCATGCAAACATGCTCTTGCCCATGTACCAAAGAGGCAGAAGGACATTAGGGAGCAGGCTGGAAGAAAAAATTAACCAACTCATGAGCTGATCTGTGTCTGAAAAATACACATGAAAGGGATAGGCAGAAAGCAGCCTAAAATCACATTTGATTGTTCTGGTTTCCACATATGTCATAGTGTGCATACACACATCTTTCAAAAAGTTCTCCAAAACGTGCTGGGTAATGGAGGTGTCATTTGGACCCATATAAACCCAAATTAGTACATTTTGATTGCCAAAGGCCTCTTATAATGGTAGAAATGTGGCGCTGCAAACAAACTGTCACATCTTTGTTACATTTTACTGTTGTGTTGTATGTGCTTTTCTTTACCTGGTTAGTAAGCAAAGAAAGGGGGAGAGTAAGGAGAGAGTTAGAAGAGGATTATTGTTTAAGTGGCAGCTCAGGGAAGGAGGCAAGAACAGTGAAAATTGCTGCAAGGTCATAGTCAAGTCAAAAAGGAGAATAACCAGGTGAAAGAATATGTGCCGTCCAGGATTTTGTACTGGGTGGTTTCCATTGCTTGACATGATTGTAGTGAGAGCTTCTAGAGAGAAAAAACACTCACAGGAGAAAATGGATATGGAAATATCTGAGATACAGAAGGAGGTATAAGTATATTCTTTCTGAAATAAAGATTTTCATGAAAACACTCTTCTTCAAACATAAGCCACAATCAAATTGTTCCCTTTTCTGCCTGACTTAAAGAGGATAGCAGTCTTTTGACAGTAATCCTTGCATTGCAGCACTAGCTGTGAGGTTAAGGAAGGATTTCGTCCCTGGGACACTTATTCCCACAAGAAGCTATTACTAGTAAAGATGTTATTGTCTGTAATTTAGTGACTGCCCTGTGCTTCCTACAAAACCTGTGGATTGGTGCTGTAGTGCACAATTACTTTGACTGAGTTTAATGTTGAAGTCTGGCAAAAATTCCAGAAACTGGCCTTTCACAAAAGAGGGAGCCCAGGGGTAACAGAGGCCTGAGTGAGACACATGCTTTTCCACATGCAAATCCTTACAGGTGCTGTGTGTGCTGGGGGAATAGATGTTCTAAACAGATACTCATGAATAAAGACCACACCAACCAGGGCTCCCCTTAGGTAACACACAGCATGTCATTGGAACCAGAAGGACACTCAGAAGACCTGAAACAAATCTGCATTAAAGCCTGAAACTGCAGCTGCTTGTTTCAGGCTGGTTTCAAAATAACCACGGAGTCCATCCTGGCTCCCCAGAGGAGCCCACCCCAGATCAGGGCCTCTCTGGTGGAGGCTGAAGGTCAGGACCAGACTGTCTGGGACCAGGGTTTCATCTGGGGAAGGGGCCTGACTTTGGTCAGTGAGGGGCTCTCTGGGGCAGCCAGGTAGGACCACAGCAAACTTAGGGAAACACAGGATGTGCCATAGGTGGACAGGGGCTGCATGAGGAGGTGATGCCCCAGGAGTGTGTGGAGGAACAGAACTCAGGGACACATTTGCCAGAGAATGGCCACAGAGTGTGAGTGATGTCAAAACCCTGGTCAGGCTTCTGCAGCTTCTTTTTGCCTCTCAAGTATCTCTTCCACTCTTCCTTCTATACTTTAAGTTCTCCCTTCTTCAGCTAGAGCAGGTCTGGACAAGGACATGCCACAGCACACATCTACCTTCCCCCTCCTCGGTCATCCATCCAGAGCTCATGGAACTTTCTGTAAGTTATCAAGGTTAAGGCAAGGAAACTGACAGAGCACCAGCCTCAACGAGTGCCTTACAGGCAGCAATTTGCTCTGCCAGAGCAGTGCCAAGGGGACTTCTCCACTTCTTGCACAATACTCCTAAAAATACAGTTTTCAATTCACAGACATGTTGCCTGTTTTTTCTGGTTTGGGTGGCCTTTCTTGGGAATGCTTTATCTAATTGTCTTCATACACTACATGCTTCTGAAGACAGCATCTTGTTCTGATTTTCTATATTCACAGAGAGTGTTGCCTCTGTGTATATAAATGCACATAAAAGTATATGCATTTATATATGAACAATTCCTGATCCAAAGGAAATAGGCAGTCAGAGGTTACTCTGAGATCAGAGCAACTTGGCCAAATGGAAGGTGACTCTGTCCATGGCAGGGATTGGGAACTGGGTGATTTTAAGGTCCTTTCCAACCCAAATTATTCTATGATGTGTTTAAATTACATCATCCAGCCAATGCCAGAGCACTACAAAATCACCTGGATGTTGCCCACTGGAGGAAGATGGGGCAGATCATCTGTCACATCCTGTCTATTGTCACAATTGTCCTCCTGTGACTAGACAAGCTTATAATGAAGATTTGCTTTATTAACAGGTCTGGTATAGAACAAGCTTGTAATGCCATTAGCACCCTAAAAGAAACAAGGAAAAAAAAGAAACATCTGCAAGGGAAATTTCCCACACAAAGTAACAGATGTGATTCCAAAAGGCCTCTCTGAAAAGCATTTTAAGTTTTAATTATTTAGAGTTTCTCACTGTGTAGACGCAAAACTCGCACAGATTTCTGAACCATAAATAGCAGATTGAGATTACATTTGAAGAAATGTAATGCCAGTGGAAAAGTGGACCCTTTTCTATAGAATTAAACCATACAAAATATCATTTGTTGGAGGTATATTCAAGATATCTAATTTAAATACTGTACAAAAAAGCATGGCAAAATTCTGGATTTGGACAAAGAATAAATTCTAATTCATTCTCACAAATGCAGTGATGAAATTCATAGTTCTTACTATACTGAAAATGAAATGAGACAAAGTGATGATGATTACAGAGAGAAAAAAAAAACACCTTCTGACAGGGATATGGAGTACATAACTGAAAAGGTGCTTTTATCTTACATTCAACTCTAACTTCATACTCATCGATTAACAGATTTACTCTGTGCTTCCTATGATATCATGCATTATTCAAGCAACTTCTTAAAATTTAACAAAAGCACAAGGAATAAGAGGTGGATATCATAATAAACAGAATTTAAATGTTCTTAAACCAAAGGTATGCTTTAAAGAAAATATCTACTAAGGATACGAATATAAACAACCTGGTTTCCTCACAGCATGAAGCCTGGTTTTGTCTGCCTTGTTTACCAGGGGTTTTTTCATGCCAGGAGCCCTTTATATAAACTGCAAGTAAACGAATCATTACAGAAAGGAAAACACAATTCTTACTCATTAGGCTCACAATTCTTGTTCATTAGTGTATTCGTTCACCTTGATTAAGCAGTAAAAAGGAAGAGGGTTGGGGATTTTAAGAGAGGTACACAGGCTTTTGAAGTGCAGCAATGCTCAAAAAGGCTGCAAGGAGTTAAGAAGGAATGAATGATACCTGTGTGCAGCTCCACATTTTAGTCAATCCAGGTTACATGCTTTCCCAGCAGGAAAAATTCTATATTCTGAAAAGATATAAGGTGTGGTAATGTCGGCTGGTACAGAACCCAAAGCACTGAATGCAGGTAAATTATAATAGCTTCCAGTAGCTTTCCTTCCTGGAAATAAGCTGTATAATTTAGAGTTTTCCACTTGAGTGAAAACTCCTATTGTTCCATTCTTTTACTGACATTTACTTTGCCCTAAATAATCTTGTTTACCTGGTTACATTTTTTCTTATGATGATGTCAACTTTTCTATTGACATGATTTTGTTAAGACAAACAGAAAAAGAAAACAAACCACAACCACAACAACATGTGAGCTTTACTCAATCACAAGATAGTTTTCATCTGGAGAACATGATCACACCTGGCAATAGTGGTAAGCAAGAGACAGCAGGCTTCATGGTAAACTGAGGTTACAGAGAGTTCCTGAGATTTACATGCCCCACTGCAATTAAATCATATTTGGGCTCCTGATCCCTAGGGAGCCTTTTACAGCCATCAAAATTTGGTATCACAACAACTGTAACTATGACTATCACAAGAGAATTTCATTACGCTCTAGGAGTGATTAGAAGTAAGTACCTCAAAGTGTGAAAGCTCAACCAGAGAAGCCTTTTCTCTGCCTCAGAAGCCTGAGAATTTAATATTATGGAATTTAAATAAATACACATGCAGATGTTGTCTTTTTAGAGCCAAACTTTATCCTATGTCAAGAGCTGAAGCAGGCTGGCTAGTGAAATTACAAAACAGAAATCCTTCTCTGTTTGTGGGAGAGGCAGCATGATAAGCAAACACACCTACATTTGTAGTGTTTTCTCACATAAACTTTTTAGCAGTTTGTATTGTGCTGACTGGATATGTAGATGATATGTGGATTAGGCAGCAGACAGATCATCTGTCTAAATGCCATCATGATACAGCTGCCCTCTTCTTTTCTATCCTGTTAATGCTAATCTTCCAGATCTCAAGCAGGCACTGGTATTATTCCTAGAAAGACAGTAATCAGAGCAATGGACCCAAAAAAACACTATGCAAAATGACATGTCACATTAAAGGAGCACTTTGTTTTCATCTGAGCATTCAAAGTGTTGGAGGCAGCACATTTAGAACAAAACCCCTGGACTGAAACCTTGAGAGCTTCACAAATCACATTTCCTTTGCAAGCCAACACAGCATTTTTTTTCTAATTGCCAAGCTGCTGATTTTGATGTAGAGTGGACCCTGTCGATAGTCTGGGATTAATGTTGTGGAGATGCTGTAAGTACCTAATAGGAAATAGCATTCCTTCTGAAAAAAATCTTTTTTATTACTTGTACTTGCACTTTTTGCTTCGAATCAGAAATCCCTGGCCCGGGATTGTTACTTAGTACTTGGGGAGATGTTATGCATTTACCTATGGCTTATACATTATTATAACTACAATCACTGTCTGGAATGGAATCATGTGCATCAGGAATTTTCCCCCTCTCTTCTCTACAGCCAAATTTGCTGAACTTCTTGGACTTTGTGTGAAACTTTCTAGTGCTGGTTATTGTTGGTCCCCAGCTCTGAGCCACTGCATCTCTGGAGTGTGTCTGCATATATTTTCTGTTTGTACCTTACCATGTCTGCTCTGCTTAATTTCTGGAGACCATGGGGAGACCTGTCAAGTTCCTTCTTCTTACAAGACATAGGGACAGGAAGGTGTTATGAGTAGAGAGTTATGTGGAGAGTTATATATGGAGTTGTCTGCTGTTAAAATCTTTGATATCTAGACATTTTTTATTAACAACACATCACCATTTTAACAATAGCCACGAAAAGTTCAAACAGTTCTAGTAAGAAGACATTTATAAGACTGTGGGCTAATCATTATTAGAATATGATTTTGCTTTCTGTTTACATTCAAGCTACCTGAAATCTAAAATTCTGTGAGTTTATGTGAAGTTCTTAGTCAATTAGATCCCTGGTGTGAGCTCCACATTTTCTTTTTGTTTGCACAACTGAATAACAGGGTGCATGTTTTGCAGGCAGACAGATAATCCAGAAACCTCCCTGGCTGTGGTGTGAGCAATGTATATAGGAAGACATTTCCACTTTTCAAAGACAGGTACAGTCACATGGTCAAATGAATGCATATATGGTTCTCATAAACTGATGGTGTGAAATGAGGATGCAGAGGTTTCATACTTGCACAGATCCAGCTGGTTACAGCTTCAGTCAGAGATTAAGGCTTTCCACATTTTATTCTCCAGGTATAATTTTACTTGTTCATATCTGTAAAAGGCTGCTAACACCTATGAAGCAGTTAGTAAATTACTTAATATATAAACAATGATCAGATGAAATTTTCCTTGCATTATTTGAAACCTGGGTTTTAATCTTTTTAATTTCTATATTTAGACCATTTAAGCACCAAGCATGCTTTAACCTGGTAGCATTACACGAGCTCATTCCTGGAAAATGTCTTTTGTCCCCTCTACTTGAGTGTCAGCAGAGTGTCCAGGACCACTGTCCCTTTCCTGCAGCAAAAACCAGTGCTTGGAACACGATATTTCTAAAAAGCAAAGAAGTCTCATCCCCATTAACCTGGAATAAGCAGGTTTTGGATGAGTACATTAAAATAGTGACATTTTTGTCTGTGATGTTTCCAGGCTTGGGAGCTGCACCCAGGCAGTGGTACCATCATGGCCAGCCCTGTCACTTGCCAGGGAGATGCCAAGGGCTGGTGCCACAGGTGTGCCATGGGGAGGGAGTCTGGCACTTCTTCCTTGTGCTGGGTAACATCTGCTCTCACCTGAGCTCATGTTTGGCCATAAAACACTGTGTGGGCACAAAAAGCAGCATGCAGGGAGTCATTACCATCATTTTCTCTGCAGATAGACATTTGTGTGCAAACCAGGCTTGATTCTGCAAACTCATGATGTTTAGCAGCAGGGACAGGTGAAGGTTATCATGGAGTAGGATACCTTTTACCTGTGTCATGAGGAAATTGAAATATCACTGTGTGGTAACCAAGTACAACAGCAAATATGACCCCACGGGATGTAACACCGATGTTTGCTTCCTGTGGACCTTTAACAAACCCCAGTGCAAAATCAGTATGTTGCTGCTTTGGACAGGTGCTGAGCTGATCCCACTGACAGCCACCTGGAGCGAATTGAATGATTTTTACAGGAATTTAACTTTTTAATCTTCATGACAGGAACTGGAAAAAGTCACTCAAGAAAATTACTTCAGAATATTCCAGTGTCTGCTAAGACATTTTCTCATTGTACTGGCAATTTCTTCTGCCCTGGAGAAGAAATGGGTGACATTTCTCAGGGTTATACCATGCTCCATGTACTGCAGCTGAACTGCCAGCTGAGTCCCCAAGACAGGGCTGTAATTGGCTCAGTGCATATCAGGTTCCCTTCAACTCCCCTTTGTGAACACAAAGGCTGGGATGTAGCCAAGGCAAGAAAATGTACAGCAAATCACAGCTGACATGAATGGCAAAATAAACAAAAGCAGATGTGCCTCTTCACATGGTTATGTGAGGGATATGGGAGCAAAGTATGTTTTGACAACAACAAAAGAAAAAACTGATATCTGAACACAGAAGGTTTTGCAGACAAAGAGAGGTGCTGTCAGTGATCATCAGTGAAGCAGCATTTGCAGATCACAAGATACCAACAGTGAGAAAATGCCTGTTGTGGGTACCAAATTCACACAACAGACCAAACAAATGACAAAAGCATCATGTCCATGTTCAAGGCATCCAGTGAAATACTGTCAGCACTTGGGCTAGCAAACCCAGAGCCCTTCACAAATCTATTAGATGATCCAAATTCTCTACTACCCTGCCACATACTGTGTATTTTCAGAGGCAGCTTTTTTTTACCAGACCAAAGGGAAGCAATGTAAGAAATTAAACATGATTTAGATTTGAATGACACTGAAGTGCAGTCGATGGCACTCTTGAAATTCAAGATGCTTCAAATTTCTGGATATGCCTGGCTTCTGGGTTGCTGTAAAGTTGCTGTTGCTATAATGTCAAGACTACTGAGGAAGTATTGGCCTCTATTTATTGACACACAGGGTTTTCACTGAATGTAATAGTGGTAATAAGTGGAATGATAATGGATATTTTTGATCCATCCTAAGACAGAGGTTGCACTGACCTAGGAGTTTTACCTACCAGCTTCACATATCAGCCTCACCTGCTAAGAAACCAAAACCCTTCCTCTCTAAAGACAGACCTTGGGTGAGAAAACTTTCTAAGTATGGTGTCTTTTCAAGGTTATTTCTGTGTCAGAACTGAAGATCCTAACTTGAGTTATATCTCATATCTAAATATCCTTTAGGTTAAGTCCCTCAGTGTTGCCAGAAGCAAGAGTGCATTAGATAAATCAGATATTCAGAAGGAATATAATTACGTCTACAAGATAAAAGGTTTTGCAATACCTGGACTAACAATGACAACAATTAATAAAATAATGGTTTTTAGATAGCATATTTATATCTCAGAATTAACACCAGAAGACAATATAGTCACATCTTATATCAAGTATACGTCTCTGGAATAAATTTTCCCTTCTACAGGGAATTAGGCTAAGGCTGCGAGGGGGCTGTCCTTTGTAAGTTTTGCTATAAATAACTTGTTTTTTTTTCATTTGCACATCACAGTCAAATACCTGGTCACAACAGGGATGCCTAGGAACTACCACTAGGTGAGAGAATAAATGTTCTCTTTTCTGCATTCATAAATATATTTCTTTTTGGCTGATATACAGAATTATGCACCCATATTTTGGTATTAACCACGTGTGAAACTGCAGACTTGTGTTTACTGAGGTTATAGTGGATCACAGGGATGCAAAGAGGATTCCATAAGTCAAACATTACAATATTAATAGTGAAACTGTTCATTCACATCATGAGGATCCCTAGATCATGGTCATTATTCATTACAGATGTTTCCACTTGAGCTGTAACTAAGACAAGACAGGTTCTTTTTTTTCAGTGCTACCTATCTAGAATTGAATAGTATTTTAGTATTGCAACATGGAGACAAGATGCAAATGAAGAGTTATAAAAAAAAAATATCTATTTATATACATTCAGAACCTACTTAGGTTCTTCAAGGAACAAGAAAAATGTTTTTGCAAATTATTTTGCAGTGTTATTCTGGAAAGCTCACAGTTTAGCTCACAGTTTTTCATAAAAGACCATTTTATTTTTTTTTTGGTTATTCCTTACATTCCTTTAATGTCAAATGGCAGTTTTCTTTACTAATGGCACTGTAGTCCAAAAGACCAGGAACAGCAGTAAGCTTATTAAACATTAAAAAGGACCTCTGAGGTAAAATAGACAGAGATGCCTGACTATGCTATCAATGATTTTGGAGTTGTTTGGGGGTTTTTCGTTATTTTCCCTTATGCTAATTTATTTTTAGAGCACCTGCAATATTCAAACCATGGAGAAAATGTTTTCAGGCCTGGGGGTATGTATTTCATTGAAAAAAAAAAAAAAGAAACTGAATGAAGAAATGAAAGAAAAACAAGAAAAAAAAAGAAGAATTATAAAAAACATCATTTTTTGAGTAGTTGCTATTGTTGCAACCAAACAAGCAACACAGTTGATCACTAATGAGAATTAAGTTACTGTGTAGTTGCTTAACTCACAAGGCTGAAATACTCAACACAGCCAAAGAACTGCAATGTAATTAGAATAAGATGTGATAGCCTGCACGTTCTTATGATTTAGGGGCAAAACAAGTTTGCATCTACAGTGTTGAGATTTATGATGCAAATGTTTATGCTTTGGTTTTACCCCTGGAATAATGACGCCCCATGTATCCTAATACTGAAGTCTGAACAGCAGCCCATAAACTCACAGAATTTATTCACAACAGATAATCTTTGTGACACCAACTTAATTCCAAAACTTACTTAAAAAAAGAATTAGCTCACTAACTGGAAATAAATATATAATATATATAATATATATTACAGTGCAGAAACTTATTATTTATGAGTCTAAACACAAAAGATTGCACCTGATGACAAAAATTTTGTTTAGCTTGTAAAAGAGCAAATTGCTGTTGAATCATTAACACAAAAGCAACCAGGGAAGCACAATTTGTTTAACATAATTCTAACCTACCCGTGAGCTAAACTGCAGTATTTTTTATAATATAGTCCAAATACATGGCTTGTCTTGGTGCTCAACAGGTGACTACTAGATAAAAAAATCCCATCTTGAAGTTTACAATACAGCAAGAAGATGACAAGATGTTTGCATGCATAAAGGTGAAATATGCCAAGATTTATTAAAAATTTAGATATAATGGATGAATATGTCCTATTCTTTATGCTTCTAGATAAAAATGATTTATCTGATCATGGCAATGTTTACTGTTTATTTTAGTGAAGGCATAAATCTTTTCACCTCCTTATTAATATACTCACATTTTTTCTCTTTCTACTTACAATGTAGGTAATGCTTCCAAGAAGCTGTAATATAATATGTAATTATTTACTTTGATTCAGAAATTGCAAAATGTCTAAATTGCAACCCACTATTCTAAACCTAATTTTAAAAATTTAATTGAGTAGTCATTTGATGCATACTTGGTATGCTAAGAATTAATTTCATCATTCCTTGGTGATTATGAAAATCACCCCCCTGCCATGGGCAGGGACACCTCCCACTAGCCCAGGTTGCTCACAGGCCCATCCATCCTGGCCTCAAACACTTCCAGGGATGAGGCAGCCAGATGTTATCTGGATAATCTATTTCAGTGCCTCACCACCCTCATAGTAAAGAATTTCTTGGCAACATCTGATCAAAACCTATTCCCTTTCAGTTTGAAGCCATTACCTTGTTCTGGCTGTCCACACCCTATAAGAAGTTCCTCTCCTGCTCTCTTATAAGCAAGCCCTCTTTAGGGAATATGGTTTAATGCTATTAACCCCAACTCAAATATCTTTCGATGTTTAGATTATAGCTGGCCATAGTCTACAAAGCTGCTTGATTTTGTTATCATGGGAAGAGAAAACAAGGAAAAGTAGATCAGTGCATAGTATCATCTATTCATTCCCATTCTCTGTGTTTTGCTCCATATAATTTTTTCTCCTTTAGTGATTTCTCATCTGCTCTTTAGGCTTGATGAACTATTTCACTCTGAAAAAAAAAAAGAAATAAACATGGTGAACCAGACTCCATGCAGGTAAGATAATAAAATAACCTCAGTTCTACCTTTGAGTGACATCATAGGAAGAAAAATAACAGGAAAGATAAGTCTGCTAATTCAAATTAATACAAATTGGGGCAAAACCTGAATTAGGTTGATTTTAATGGATATTTTTTCTTATTACACTGGGACACATTAAGATTGTCTGGATGCCTTAACTGTACATTTCCATACCTTTCATTTCTTCTACATTTACCTTTAACTCTGACAACAGAATTTGTGCAATTTGTTTAGGGGACAGTAGCATTAACATTTTTTCTCATTTTAAATTGTATTTTTAAATGATG